AAAGTCATTTACAATTGAATATAAATTAGGAAAGATTCCGATTACTTCAAGACATTAATATATATTTATATATCAATAGATTTTATATATAAATTTAATTATATTTAATTATGTTCGTCGAATCAAAAATTCGAAACGAAAGTAACGAAAATAGAAACGAATTTAAAATAAACTCGAATAACCTTCTTGAAGTTGACGTGTCTCTCGAATGGAATTAATTGTAACTATGATTAATTAGCTAGAATCTAACAAGTTGAACGAATCATGTTTCGCCGAAATGATTGCAGACAAATGGATTCGACGTATGCTTTGCAATGTACTACTACAATTTTACGACATGACCTCCACGTCATGGATGATGGCACATATGTTGTACGTACACATGTAGCACAGCTGCGCAGAAGCACGATCATGTTCACGGAAGTAGACACCCGTCGAAGTTCCCTTCGATCTACTCCGTTTCTATTCCACAGAAGTATATCGACACGTCTATTTAAATAATACATCAACTAGCCATAGTTTTGCAACAACCTTTTGTTACTTGAAATTCAATCTAATACTTCTGTGATAACATTCTTAAAAATTTATATATATACTACTTTCTATACTAGAAACAACAATGTTTCGTATTAAAGGTCAGCTTTAGTCTGTAGATTGTAATTCGTAGAAAATTAGCAAAATCCGAGTGTCAAAGTTTGCTTCTTAAGCAATATACAATATACTTAAAAATAATTTTGGAAGTTGTTGTAAAATATAAGATGAATTTTAGTATACAATATACTAAATACACGGCAATGTAATAAAAATAATAATGGTAACTATCGGTTGTTTGTTGGTAAAATAAATTGTTACAATAAGGAAATGAATATTAATCATTTTATATATATCATCGTAATTATTAAGATAAATTGAATGATAATTAAACTGTTGAATATTTATTTTGTTATCAAGCGTAAGAATTGTCTATCTTCGTTTTATATTTCTTCAGAACGTCAGAAACGGAATATGTGACTGCGTACGGTCCTGAAGAATGGCCCTCCCCCCCCCTAGTGATCATTTTCAATCGCTCTCTTTGACTCTTATATGTCGTCAGTGCTGCCGGATTTGTCGAGTATATCATTGACTGTTGTTCTGTTCGTTTCTGTTACTACGTTTGCTATATTGTTCCATCAAAGATTACACACAATATCAGTGAGTATCATAACGTTTAATAGTTAATTACTTAATATTTCATACAATTATGCATTGGAAAAACGTTCGTAGTATTTGTGTATCAAGTATCAATACAAAGGAAACTTTTTAAGTAAAACAAATTGAAGCACGTGTAGTCTGATAATTACTCACGTAACATTAATTATTGTTTCAATTAAATTTCTTTTCCTTTGACGTGTGAAAATTTACTTCTTCTGTTCACTCAACTGATTCTTTTTCAGAAAATATTTTTTCCGCCTCATAAAAATCATTTACCTGTATATGTAACGTATATATCAAATATTTCAGTTTTAAAAATAGTAATCACAGTAATGATTAATAAGTATAAATTGGCTCTTCTTATTTAAAGATAATAAAAAAAAGAAGATTATAATCTTCTACATCATATTACGTATGCATTAATTTTTTAATAATATTATGAACAATCCATATTTTTATATTTTGTTGTTGTCAGTTAATTATTATTATAATACTGATGTCTTATATTGCTATCAATTTTGAAATTTAAATACATAACAAGTTATGTGTTTCATGATAAAGATCGATAGTCTGTACATTTTTAAACACCCTGCTATGTAGCTACTTCCCTTATTTACATCATCTGTTCTAGAACTATCATTCCATAAAATTTTTTGCCCTCTTTGTACAAAGTAAACTCACAATATATTAGCAATAATACAGAATCAAGATATTAACGTATCGTGTATCTGTCCACGTTAAAAAATTAAGTGAATCACCGTGGACATTGGACTTTGTATTCAATTTTGATCTTCTATTTTACAGCGAAAGAATCATGAATTATACACATAATCTTTCGAAAAGTTGAGTATTGTCAAGTAGTTTTATATTATGTGATGCACTTGTATGTATATGTTCACGTTTTTCGTTTAATTTGTCGATCGTGCGCATTGTAACTTGAAGCTAAGATTCGTAATTTCGTTAATTTTACTTGTTGAATTTAACACTTGTTGAATCAAATATTTCTATATTATCCTTAAAGCAGATAAAACGTACAATGCATGATCAAATTATAAAATAAAGATGTGATCCGTCATGTTTCCTTTCTAAGGCAAATATTGTACATTGCGAGCACTATGAAATAATTCTATTCGTATCCTTCGCCGTGCCTGCACAATTTTATGTTTCTTGTTGCATTCGTGCAGTAATTTATCAAATGATTATTAACCGATTGAATTCGATTTTTCAGGGAAGATGGCAAACAACAAGGAGAGTATGCCTCATCTGGAAGTAATCGATCGCGTGAAAAACATTCCTGTTGTTCATTCGGCGATAGAGAAGACGGAATCTACATACAGTTATTTGAAAGATTCGAATCATTTGATCAATTGGGCGCTAAATCATGCTGAAGCTGGACTTCATTATGCGACTGCTACTGCCGCCCCTCTTACCGTGCCTTTAGCGAAAAAATTCGAAGGCCAGATCTCTGCTGTTGATCAGAAGTTGTGCCAAGGATTGAACATAGTGGAGGAGAAAGTGCCGATGGTGAAACAGCCACCTCAACAGGTGAATATGATAGAAATTGTAATAGGTGATAAGAAATCGTGGTACTATGTGTGACAAAATTTAGTGGATGGAAGATATTAAAGTCATATCTACTAGATAATATAATCGTTAGTTTATGCAATGAAAATATTTATATAAAATTCTGAATTGCAAGTAATCGTGATTGTTACTACGTCAATTCTGAATATGTTATTATTCGTCTAATCTAAGATCTAAAGATACACATTAATTACGATCAACTCTTATTTGTATTCTCTAGATTTACGATGCTGTGAAGGCTGTGACGAGCAGCTCACTGCAACCAACAATTAACAAATTGCAAGCTGCAAAAGAATCAGCGACGCAACAGGCATCAACTCTCAAAGAGATTAGTATTAAGAAGGCCAATGAATTGTTGAACACAGAATATGGTAATAAAGCAGTGCAAAGTATCGATGATATCGGCGTTCTCATTAACGCTTTATTGGATCGTTATTTCCCTCCGGTCGAAGGGGAAGAAAACATGCCCGGTGTGTAATATATATAAATATGTAGCAAAAACATCATCTAAAATATTGGATAATCTTATAAGTTGTATTGAAATTTATTTTACAGCACCTGTGTCTGCTGACGAGAACAAAATTTTACATTCCGTACAACTTGCTGGTCAATTGTCCACGAAAACTGCCAATCGAGTGTATCATTCGGTCGTAGCACAATTAAGAACATTGAAGAAAGAGGATGTGTCATCTTACATGACGAGCGTAATATCTATTCTTCATCTAACGCAGTTTTTAAGCTTAAGTGATCAGCAAAACGGTAATAAAGATTCAAATCAACAAAATACGGAAAAGAAATAAGCAGAAATCTTACTGATAATAATTGTATAATATCGCAATAGTCACTTGATAATCACATTCACATCTAATGAAATTTTTACTGACTCAACGTGAGAAAACTTTGGACCTTAATTTATACATAATTCATAGAAACAATAGTTCTAAGTACGTGATCTATTCATTGGTGTGATCTATTATATAAAATTATATAAATCACTTGAAATCCTCGAGTAAATAGATTGAGAAGTATATTGAGGAATATAATTTAACTTGGTGATAATTTCAAATTGCAAAAATATGTGATAATTTTGTAGGAAAAGTAAGTCACGTAAGGTTTGAATTTTGTTGGTCACTTTATCATCCTTCATTTAATCAGCTGCAAATAAGTATGATATTTGTGGCATTAGAATATTATTTTTACATATAATTCTAGCACTTTACATGTAGAAGAGCTAGATATTTGTATCAACTTTTTATACAACTAAATATGTAAAGAGAAAGAGAAGCACACAATTAAAATTTATTGTATTTTTGTAATAAAAGATTTGAAAAATGTGATATCTAAATTCACTGTAATTGCAATGCAAATCATGCAACTATTAGTAATTTCTTATTCGTTATTATTTCATAAAGTTATTGTTTATAATTTATCTACTATTTATACTTGTTATATACATATTTTACAAAATTTATAATCTTATATCAATGAAAATGTACTCTGAGATGTTGAAATATTCTATTTAAGATAAACCGACTTAGTTTAAGGCTTTTCACATAAATTTTATTTTATACTAATTTTATTAGTCTCAAAATGATATTTTCAGAAACAAAAATTATTAAATGAATTATTAAAGAAAAAAAATAATATTATATAGCAAAGAAAATAATTAAAATTATTGATAATTTTATACATATCTATACAGTTCAAATGCTAACTATGACACAACATGATTTATACACATGATTTAGTATAACCTTTTAATCACAGAGGAAATATGTGTTGTGGTTTAAATGTAATTTTACTTGTCAATTCGATGGTAAATATCATACGAATCATACAATGCTAATTCTCATATTTACTTTATTAGTTCTTATTAATATTTACAAAGTTAGGCTAGGAAACTGTTATTGAGCTACGATTACTTTGAAGGAACTAATTTTATTCTTAACATCAATCGCAATGATATAAATAAGAAATACTGATCGATCACTCTAAGATATTACTGAGATAGTTTAAATATTTTTTTTAAACTATTTAACTTTTCACAAATAAGAATAATTCAAGAGGTCGATATATACCCTTTTTATTAAACATATAATGGTCTGCCAAAATTTGAGGTTAGATAAATTTTTCACTTCATATCCCAAAAGCTATATTTTAAAGAATTTTAACTAATGTCATACAATTATATGAATATATTTCGTCACGTTTAATATTTAATACTTGCCAATACTATTTGATGTTCTGATGTTATCTTCTATTTTCTTAAAATATTCTTCTTTATTAATGATTTTTAATATCGATGTTCCATTTGCGAATTTGGCGACAGTTTCATTTTTATATTCAGCAGTATTCAAGGCAGAAAAATTTGATTTCGTCTCATCTACAAGTAAAAGATCCCGAGTTTAAGTCTATTTGACTTAAGTGGATTAATCAAATTATGAATCATCTAATGTTTTGTATATTTATTTCGAAATGATGTGATGTGATCTATTCATAACGAATTCTAAATTTAAAATCATTACTTTTAGTCCTATATTGATTTTAAATTATTCTAGAATCGATTCTCATATCGATTTTATAATAATCGAAATCATTTGATTGTGGATTATTATACATAAGAATATCTTTTACAAAATTATTATAAAGTAAGAAGAAATTACAACATTTATATATGTATGTAATTATCTTATAACATGACTAATATTTATTGATATAAATATTTTCTCTGATACTGAGAAAAATTTGTCTTTAAGTGACTAAATGGATTTTGCTTTTAAATTTACTATTTTTTTTATAATAACAGTTTTGTTTAAATGATAAAAAGTATCAATATTGACAGGAAGTGTTGTTCACCATATACAAGAAATTTCTACATATGTGACAGTAAATATTATAAGACAAATCATAAATTAACTATAATCATTAAATATCAAACATAAAATAAATTTTTACGTTACTTTATAATATAATTTAATATTCGTAAAATTAATTTCAATTTATAGATATTATTATTATTTATACAATGATTTGCAATCGTTAAAAACTCTTTGAAGCCATTTCAACATCCTTTTTGAAACTAAACGTCTTTTTTATATGATAATTTAAAAATATATACAAACGAACAGGAAATTATTTTATTACTTTTATGTTACAAAACTAATTTTTAAAAAGTTCACTGGCAGAAAGATGCAGATTATCATTCTTGAAGAGAGAAAGGTAAGAATTAACTAGCGAATAAGTTTCTTTTCTCTTTTAATTATTAAGAAAGTAATGCCTTACCTTCTTTGTTTCTTAACTCGATACGATACGAATTGTAAAATAAATGAGTATTTTTAAAATTTTTGAGTACGGTCATGGGTTTGGAATGAAATGACCCATAAATGACTGCGAGGTGATAGTGGCGCACTCACACGATCATTTAACGAATGACAATATCATATTGTGAAGAGCGCTACAGTATTCTGATATTTCGCAAAAGAAAAACAAATATTATTATACTTGATTATTTGACAAATAACTTTCTCAGTGAAATAGCGATCAAGGTGCATGTTTAGTTGAAAGTGATAAATGTGAGCAAAGTTTCATTGAAGTTGATTACATTAGGTAAATATCAAACAATTATTTGTTAAGAAATGTTTTTAGAATAATTATATATTATAATCATCTCTGATTTATATATAATATCATGATTTATATGATTTACTATTATACCATATGTTTCCTAAAATGTAATAATTATTTATTTATAGATATGGGTCTTTATGGGATATATATGATTGTGATTAAATATATGAATTATTCTAGTTTTCTTTGATTATGTTGCAGATTTTTGAACATATAAAGAAATATTTACTACATTTTACTACCAGAAAATATCCATTATTATTACATGGAATATGGAAGTTGAATCATCAAAACACATATGTAAAATAGAAGCTGTTAACCGTGCCCGTAAAATACCAAGTGTAAATTATTTGTGGGATAAATCTACAGAAATATATGGCCGTGTAAAAGATACAAATGCATTTGTACATTGGGCGTTTAGTACTATGGAGAATGTAGTTGATATCATGATTGAAAAGTCATTGCCAGTTGCTAAGTTAATAGAAAAGCCTATTTGTACACTTGATAAAACATTATGTCAAGGAATTGACTATGTGGAAGTAAAGTTACCTATAATAAAAGAGGAACCAGAACAGGTTACACAAATTTTAATATATAATTGTATTAGTAATGTTTTACTCATAGAACTTGGATCTTTATACTGTGTTTATTATTTCAGATTATAAACCGGACCAAGTCTTTTGTATCAGAGTGTCTTAAACCAGCTGTTGAAACATTTACAAATTTAAAGAAAGGAACCAAACACAAAGTTAAAATTATAAAATTGCATACCTATTATAAAGTTCATTATTTAAGAATGTACAGTTGGCAACAGGCAGATAGAGTTATGTCTACTGAAACAGGAATTAGTATTTTAAAAACTGTGGACAGTACTACTGATTTTGTTGAGTTAATACTGGATAAATATTTACCTGTTCCTTATGACTTTCACAGTAATGAAACTGGTAAAATAATATTTATATATCATAAATGTTAGTATTAACATTAATAAATATTATTATTTATTTTTTGTAGAAAAGTTATGCAATGAAGATGCTAAACTTCATCATACTGTTGGAAGGTTAAGTGAGTTTAGTTCGCGTACTTCAAAACGTATTTACTTTGCTTTAATGGAATTGCAACATATTTACAGAATGGAAATTCGTTTATTAATATCAGATATTATATGTATACTCTTATTATTTAAATATATAGTATACGGTACATAATATATATCTATGAAAGTATATAATATATACTTATACAATATTCTATATATAGCGATATTTTTAACATGTAGTATATAACTAAAATTGCATTTAAACTGTTATATACTTATAATAGTTTAAAATAAAATATCCTACATTTCTGTGATATATTAACTTAGATTGGACTGAATCTTTATTTTAATGTATATCCTTTTCTCAAATTCTTTCCTTTTTCTCATGTAGCCAAATTTCCATTCGTTCATATTTTACATTACATGCAAAAAAAAAAAAAATTTTTTTTAGATAA